ATTTCTAGATATTGTATTCCTGAGTAAACTTTGAATAAAAACAACCAAATTAAGTCAGTAGACAATATTATATGAATTAATATTAAAAAAAAAACATTTAAAAAATCATATCTTGCCAATTTTTGCCATCATCACAGAATACATTTGATATTTGCAACAAATTATAGTAAAATGTAGTAAGCTTTACTCAATATAGTTTTAAAGTTATATTAACCAATTAACCAATTAACTGTCATTGACGAGTATACTTGTCATGAAAAAGTGGCATAATGTTTTTGTGTTGACGAGGATATTTGTCATGCATATAATAAATCAGTAACCATTGACTCTTTAAATTGATTGGATATAAACAAAATATTGTCTCTAATGTTAAAATGTTTGAAATATTTTGAAACTGACTTCTTATAAAATCAGAAGGTATACACTTATCCAATAAGAGTTCAGATCCTGCTTTTTAAATTAGGACAAAAGAGCAAGAAAAATATAATCTAAACTTTTTATTTATTTCTATGCTTGGTAGTAAACATTGTAGAAAAGAATAACACCATAAAGTCATACATATCGCCGTAATGAGGAGGTTTGCATATGAAAATTAAGAGTTTTACGATAGCGTGATCTCTCATTTTACATCCATAGTTATAAAATTCAATGCAAAAAATATCTCCATAACCCATTATTATTTTCAAATACTCGATCTGCTTCCTTTTGATATTTTGTTTTATTTTAGATACTGGTATATAGTATTGTTTGTGTACTAAAAAATCAGAATATTTAGATACAACCCTTCTATGTAGTATAGCTAAAATTAGGTATCAAGAACTTATAATTTTCAATACAGCTAATTTTTGAGTCAATCTTGTATTTTATAATTTATACGTCATCATTTAGCATGAAAATATTTAGATAATATGTATTTTACATTTACCAATATTTCGATAAAATCATAAATTACATAAAAACTATCAGAGTATAACCCACAACACATGTTTATGTACCACAAACAAATATGGATGCTGTAATGAGTTAAATAATGTTTGATTAACAAACAAGTTTTCTAATTAGGTTTTGCAAATGCATTTATTTATTGAATTTTCCGATCTGCTAGTTTTCATAATCTGCACAAAACGACATCAAGGTAAATAATATTTAATGCAAAACAAAATCGTTTAAAGTTTTGTTTGCTAAACTCTGTCATGCAGTTTTTAACATATAGTTGTCGCTCGTTGAATCGTTTGTTGTTTTCTATTTATTTAATCTATGGTGTTTAGTTGTAATAAATTGTATATATTTATAGAAAGTGTTTTTATTTCTCACTCAGTACTTTAGTATTCACTTTTTTGATTTTTTATGCAGTATTTAAAAACAATAATGTAATCAAAGTCCAAATATGACATGATCGCTTTGTCATTGTAATTAGCATTTAGAAATGAACTTTCATTAAAGAAAAGAAGTAATTGCTGATTAATAAATTCTATAATATTCGTTCACAGTGGATTATGTTAAACAACGCATAAACAAATATTGTTTTCGCAACTTCACTCATAATGTAATTGTGTTTGAACAACCTCATGTAATTAAAATTAACATACATTCATTGCTTGCTTATATTTTTTTTTACTTATTCGCTGGCGATATAATCCCATTCTTTGAACAGCTGTAATATCTGTCTTGCCTAAAAAATACTTTCCATTTTAACAACTTCAAATATTTATAGAAATTACGAATAAGACAGAAATAATTTCTAATCAATAAACTTACGTTTAGTGTATTTGTTTTATTATTTTCAAGAAAGGGGGTAAAATATTCTTACGATTCCAGGCATTTTCCATTAAATCAAAATTTTTACTACGATATAACTTTCAAATGTTTATCTATGCCGATTTACTTGTCGATATCAGTACGCATACAACGACAGATCTCTATTCTCATACGCGACGACTAATCACAATCGGCCCGTACAGAAATGATCTCATTGTGAGCGAATGGTGAACAGGATGGGCGTAACGGACTTCCGTTGCATTTGTACGGATTTACACCCTAGTCACACCTAAAGAAGTTGTACTTCAAAAATTAGAACACGTTTCAGTATTTTTTTTGAAACTTTTTCCAGATTTTTTTTATGAATTTGTATTTTTCTCGAACTTTATCTAATATATGCCTTTTTGTATGTATTTAATAAGCATTTGCTCTTGCTTTTCATCTAGTATGTATTATTCTAGTTCTTCATTCAGTATTTTTATTGTCCTTCGCCTAGTATTTTCTCAATCTCGTTGTCGTTTAATTTCAGTTAGATGTTGTATATTAATACATTCCTTTAATTAATTAATAAATATAATAATTAATTAATAAATAATAATTAATTGGTATCGCAACAAATATCATTTCCCCTTTTTCGGAAAGTGTATTTAACAATTTAATTCAATTATATTAGTTTGAAGATCGCACATAATCAAAGTTTAATCATTAAGTGGTTAGTAATTTAACTGGATGGTGTATTAAAATTCGCCAGAACACTCTCGCTAAGTGGTACTTGCATAAATTCGCCACAAATTTCCGTCGTATGCAATAGATAGAATGTATTCATATGTTGCATACTTGGAGCAATTAATGCAATCTAGCAGTTTAATTAGCTTTGTTCTGAACTTTAGGTTTTTGGTCTAGTGGCACCAAAATGGCAACTATTGCCTCAAAATAACGTTCTTACCTACACACATGCAATGGGGTTAGATAGTGGTTGACAGCGTCTCAAACTGGCAGTTTAATCAAAATCGCTTTTGTATTGTACATATTGTTTGTACACAATAAACAATGTCGAAATTAGCGCGCTGTCAGAACTTCAGCGTTACCTGGAGAGCTATTAATTTATAGAGAGGCCCTGCAGGCAAGAGGTCGAAGAGCAGGGACGGAATCCATAAAAATTGAAATTTGGTAATTGGTCGAAAATCGCGATTATAGAACTATAACAAAACTAGCGGGGTGTATGGCATCGTGCCTTAAGGCAAATTGCTGGAACTTTCCGTACCGTAACGAAATGTTCGAGCAATACTAAATGTTTTCAAATAGATTATTATTAATATTGTAACATTATCTAATATTTATAAGAGCTTTATAAACTAAATTGCAAAGTTGAAATTATTTGTTTAAAGTATATTAGAACTATAGTCAGAATTAAAAATAAAATCTGAATTATTTTCGATATACAATTTTTTTTTTTTTTTTGAAAAAAAAAGTTGAAACAAACTTTTTTTCTTCAAAATCAATTATTTTGTTAAGACAAGCAGAAAGTTCTTTGAATCATTTAAATCGGACGCTTCGTTCTCTCAAAAACTGAAATTTTACACGCATTTAGCTCCGTATCTTCGAAATGTCTGGACCTGCCTTTGCGAAAAACTAATAAACACTCCTCCCAATCATTACTACTTGAATGTTCTCTCAAAAACTTGATTTCTATTTTCTGCTCTCTTTGCTTTTTATCTCCGTAACTGCTGGACCTGCCTTTGCCAAGAACTAATCAACTCATCTCCCTATTAAATCGGTTGATCCGTGCGCCCAAAAACGTGACTGGAAATTTGTATCCATATACACACACACACACATCCATTTTTTCTGAGGCATGCCAAAATGTTCAGAAACCTTCAAAACGTCGAGAAATGTAAAAATTTTCAATTTCGATTTTCGGCCCATTACAATAACTTACCCTACGGGAAGTTAATAAATCAATGCATTGCAATAGCATTCAATTTGTCATATTAAATATGAACTAATATTAAAATTTTTACTTATATTACACCTTTTGATACCTATTACATGTCATCATTCAGCAATTCCAAAATCATTACAAAATTAGTGTTGCATGGTATCGTTTAAGGCAAATTGCTGGAACTTTTCGTACCTAAACCTAAAATTGTTAAAGAAAATTTGAAATAGTGGTGCATGGCATCGTGCCTTAAGGCTGGAACTTTTCGTACCAAAAATCAGAACACGGTTCAGTATTATATAAATAATTTTCATTTTTTTTAGGATTATTAAAATTTTCGAAACAAAATTACCTTTTTAAATTAATTTAGTTTTATTATACTATGAAATATTTTGAAAATTTTGAACTATTTTTTATCTAATATTGAAGCGCGTGGTCGCCACGTCGCAGTCTAAGGGATAAACATTGATATGGAACCCATAGAAATGGAAACATTTTTTTTTATTATTAAAATATATATAATATATGAATTAATTTAATGTGCATGTCTAATGATAATTTATGCCCGCCAAATGGCTTCTTTTTACTTTTTTTTATTGGATCTCAGTATCCGCTAAACCTGCCTTTCCATAAATTTCATCAGTTGTTCATATGTCGTCAACACAAATAAAATGTTATTTGAATCATTCAAACCGGACGCTCTGTTCTCTCAAAAATTGAATGACCAATTTTTGCCCCGTATCTTTGAAACGGCTGAACCTGTCTATGTCGAACTTACCCTGCATAAAGTTTTTTTTTATTAACAGTTATTAACAAGATCCTCTAGTTTTATTTAGATCAGACACAATATCAATAGTGTCTAACGCATACCTGTAAACGTCTTTACTTATTTGTACCATTTGTTTTACAGCTTCATGTATTTTTTTACTTGATAAAATATTGAAAAAAAAGATAAAATATTGAAATACAAAGAAAACACAACATTAATAGAAACTTTATCTATTCTTTATTTGTACTTTGGAATTACAAATATAATTATAGCTGTTTATAATTCGAATAAAATATTAAAATTGGAAAACAATTTCATGCATGAGTTAATAAGAGGACTGATACAATGCATTCCTTAATTTATATTTTCTTGTTTCTATTATGAAAGAAAAATGAAGAAGAATATATTACAAATAATATTTGTTTAAGATTATGAGCATTTTCATTAGAGGTGCAATTCGTTCGTGTGGATATGAACAATTAATATGTCTGAAGATTATTATATAACATTAAACACAACATTAGCAGATCAGCATTACAGGAAACAAATTTTTGTGTCGCCTCCATTCCTTATTTCCTTGATGCGTTTTACATGGCGCAACATGGCCAAAAATATTTTGTTCTGGTTATCGAGGGGATTTATACCAATATCACTTGTCATTATGAATTTGATTCCACTCTCATTCACCGCCTCCAACCTTTTGTACTCGCTATATTCGTGTAGTTTGTATCTAGGCACTTCGTGTCTAGGAAGTTTCAGAAGCTTGTATTTACAGTAAGCGGCATTATTGATTAACTCAATAAAATCATTAATCGTTTCAACACGCAGCCTGCCTCGTAAATAATAAGGAATGGATTCAAATTCCTCAAGTTCCATATATGAAACTTGAGGAACTCCATTGACGGTAATTCTTTTGATTACTCCCGTAAGAACAGGATCTGGAACAGGGTTTTGCATCATGGGACTTCCTTCGGAATGCTGTACATTAGATCCTAAGTGAGTAGATTTACTGTTATCGCCACATGACAGTTGTTTTGCGGGGGCAGCAGTTAGCGATTTTCTGAGTCGATTCAGTCGTGCCCTGGTTTTCTCTATAAGGTTCAGCATTTCCTGTAGTTGTCCTTGCATGCTGCCATTACCATCGGCTAACTGCTTGATTTCGTCCATTGTATCTATAACACGTTTGACTGACTAAATGTGCAACTAAATAACTTCATGAGAAATACGAGTTCTATCGTTTTTCTAAGACGGTGATATGTTTATTTTTACATACCCGGACACTTTGTTGAATGCACATGTAATTTAGAAACCAGCACTATGGAAGTAAATCGAATTTAATTTTTTTGTAAATTACATCACTTTAAATTTATGAATTTGAGTTGCCCACAACTTTTGTTTTCAATCCATACCATCTGGAAAATAATTTGTTTTTAATATGAATTGTCAAAATGCTGACAATTTTTAAATGAATTGTATTAACTTTTGATGAAAAGTATCCGCACGCACAGAACATACATCCATTTTGTCTACGGGTTTCAATATGTTCAGAAATTTTTGAACGTAAAGATATGCAAACATTTTCATTTTCAATTCAATTGGATATAATATAGTGGAATAACTCAAATTGTATAACTGAAAAATAGTACAATATTTTATAAAAACATACAACAGTTAATAGGCACTTAACCTAGTTATTACAAAAATGCACTCCTTAACACTACACCATTACTATCACACGATTTTTAAATTCAGTTGAAACATTTAAGCACAAGTTTGTGAATCTAAAATTAAAAATATAATAACTATGGGTTAAGTTAAAAAAACGAACAAAGTTGTTTTCCAATAATTTGAAGTAAGCGAATGTTATGATAAATATTTATATGAATATTTTTTGGTTACTACAAAAAAATAGTCATCATTTTGTTTATTTTTGTTTGTTTTTACAAAGTCGTAATAAAAGACTCTCAGAAAAGCTCTTTTAACTGTATTTGCTTCAAAATGCAAGAACGGGAAGTTTCAGCAATTTGTCTTAAGGGCGCGATGCCATGCACCAGTATTTAACTTCCCTAAATAATCTGTTATGATTAATAATCAACCATTTGAAATCGCAGTCTTTCCATAATTTATGATTTAATAGTAAATTGAAAATCTATGCCAAAGGTCTAAAAATATTTTCGAAATATATGGGAAATCAAGCAGTAAGTTTCGATCACAAAATATTATTGTAATTATAAATTTTACAAAGCTTAAATTTATGTTCAAAATTATATTTAAAAATTCATGTAATAGGTTAATGTAATTTTATCGATAATGGGTAAGAAAAATAAAAATGTTGGCTTTTTATATATCATACAAGTAAAAAAATTTTCGTGGTCCATTAAAAAGCGCTGCTCAGATGACATTTTAAAAACCCACAAAACTCAAATCTAACTTAATCTTTTGATATAGCCTAAATTCAGAAACAAAATGTCATATCATCTTACTTCGTTCTATTTTTTGGTGTCTTAAGAATTCATAAAAGAAAATTGCGAAATAAGCGCAAAGGAATATTCAAAATAACACCCAAGTTGCCAGAGTGCAATACAACAAAAAGCCTGGCGGCAATTTGCTTTGATTAAACGAGCTTTTATTAATAGCAAATAATCAAGTTGAATTAAGCGAATAAATAAATGGCAATATTGTTTGCAGCTTTAAGGATTCAAATTTGAAAATGAAAGAATTACAATTTTAGTATTGCCAAAGCTCGCCAATTGGTGGAAAATAGCAGAAATCATAAGACAAAAATTAAATTATTTAAATCAAGAATGTTTGAGAGATATCCATCTAATTTAAATCAAGAGATTAAATTATTTAAATCGAGAATGTTCTAGAGAGATCTAGCAAAAATATGTACCAAATATATCAGATACTGACTACTTAAGTAGTCAGTATCAAAAACAATTGTTTTTAGCTAAAAATCGACGCAGTTAATTTTAATTATTTCAGACGCTTAATATAATTTTGTATAGAAATTAATGAAAATTAAAGTATTTCAAAATTAAAAGTTAAAAATCTATTTGTTGAATACCAAAATCTATGAAAAAGTTAAAATTTATGTTATATGTAAATTCTTGTCATTCTTGACGAAAAATATATCAACTGGCCGATTATTTGCAAAATTGTGCTACATTGAATTATCTAGAAATTTTTTTTTATAAATATCGAAAAATAATTAACTTATCTAAACACAATAATGCTACATAAATATTATATCATATAAAATTAGGTTAAGGGGGTTGTTCGGTTTTTATTTTTTTTTTTTTCGATTTTGAGATTTTTTGATATTATGAAAGCTAAAAATTATTAAAAAAAAAAACATTTTAATATATATTTTTTGACGAAGTTATATATATATATATATATATATATATATATATATATATCTACATGTATGATTCTCTGAAACGGTTTTTTCATCGCTCCGCGAGCTATTGTATGCCAGCTACTCTCTTTTCATTATAATACCTCATGCACATGACCTTTTTAATGTGTCAGCATCTTTGAACACCATGGTGTATTTAGTACATTAAATTAAATGGTGTATTTAGTACATTATATTAAAAACTTTAAATACGTTTTTCTCAAATAGACTTTTTTCAATGCGATGCCACAAATTAAAAAAAAAACAAGTCGACTTGCATTTTTTTTAATTTGTTCACCACTGCAATACCTAGTCTCCCTACCTCAAACAACTTGATAACATTGCGGGCCTTTTTTGACACTTTTTTTAAAAATAGCTGCCATTTTTTTCCTTCTTGCTTTTTTTCTTTCATTTTAGTAGGGGGACTGGATTCAAACATCTTCTTCAACGTAGTTTCTTTTTTTTGTTTTAGGCGATGCGCAACGGATTTATCTGTGGCACCGCAAAAGAGATCGATTTTGCAAGGCCAACTTTGTCGCCCCCTTGTTAAAAGATGACAGCGAAAAAAAAAGAAAATATTGTAATATTCTATGATTTTGCAATTTTTGTTTAATAAAACCGCATGTCTCTATGATAAATACATTTCGAGAAAAGCAAAAACAAATACCTTGCATTTTTTGTAAAAAAAAGAACAACCCCCTTAATAAAAAAAGTGGCACAACCGTACCCAGTTTCCCTTGATAGGTATAAAAATGATCAAAACATCACTGGGCATAAATTTCCTTGCAGTTAAAAAAAAATTCCAAATACTAATTTTTTACCAATATTCAAAATAATCGAATCTAATATTAAGAACTATCATAAGCATGGTATATCCGAGAGAACAAAGGCGTGCAAATAATTTCCAACCCCGATGCAATGATCCTAGTACGTGCCTGTTCGCATTTTATACTCTTGGTGTATAAAACGTGGCTCGCATCGCACTGGAATTGGATTTTTCAATATTTTTCAACGTTACCCTCAAACGAATAATTGCTACAGCATTTGCAAAAGCCCGATTACGCGAATAAGATATTGCTCGGCGTTCGTTCGGTACGTCGAAGGGGGTATATTGCTTGCATGTATATTATTATTGCTTCGCGGTGGAGGGCACATGTGGGGGGAGGACGATATATACATATATACACATATGTATACGGATTGACACTTATTCATATGTGCAAGTACGTAAACATACATCAAAGATAAATATATGCATAAAAACCCTATGCACTAGAACAAGCATGCATACAAATACAAACTTTTCATCAGAAATGAAGTATTCAGACATTGTCAAATATATGACTGAAAATCCTATCAAGAAAGTTGTTAGATTGATTTTATAACAGAAACTAGTGGGGCGCATGGTATCGTGCCTTAAGGCAAATTGCTGGAACTTTCCGTACCAGAATTGAATACTCGAGGGAAAAAATCAGTAGTCAATAAATATTTATCAATGGTTAATACCAATTGTTGTAAACATTTTCAAATAGAAATTATTTTATTCTCTATTTTATTTACTACTGTCCAGTTAAGGACATTTAGTAAATTTGGGGAATTTACAATTGTCAGTCGTAAAGGGACAACCCAATAGTTGTTTTCCCATTTGTTTTAATATTAACAATAATTTAATGATAATGATATAATCTTAACTATTTACTCATAGATAATTGATGATTAACTTATTATTTTATCGTTCATAATATATATATATATATATATATATATATATATATATATATATATAGTGACAATCTTACCGCTCAAGACTCTTGAGAAAGTTTATATTAGCAAGAGGTGCCGAACAAATCCATCTGAGGATATATTTCTTACGATTAGAAAAATTTACATTTTCAAACTATATTATACATTTAAAATTCATATTTGAAATATAAAACTTACTTGTTAGTATATTATTGAAAATTTTGAAAAAAAAACTAGTTGATCTTGGTATTTTATCTTAAGGCAAGTTACATGAACTTGCCTCAAGAAACACCCGATATGTGTGAATAATCGACTCAATCAATAAAAAATAAATTAATTTATGAGTTATTAAAAGTATTCCGAGTGGATTTATTAAACATAATTGAAAACGAACGAACACGTTAACTCGAAGTATTTTCTAAGAACAAATTTTCAAAAATCAACAGTTTTTATAATTGAACCAGCTTTTGCAGAACTTCAATGCTTTAGTAAGTTTATTAAGACCAAGTACTCTATTGTTATACCAAGTAAATAGTCTAATTTTAATTTGAACAAACGTCGAGAAAACTACTCATTTTCTGAAACTTTGATGAATTTTTAAAATTAAATTACTTGTCGTAAGGCCGCAATATTTTAGTAAGTTCTATAAGACCATGATACATATCGCCAAAAAAGATCCATAAAAATCGGCTCCAATTTTTTTTCAACAGTTAATTACAAGAAAACGGCTCGATCGATTTTTACCTAAAACTAATCAGTATCATTCCCAACTAACATCTTTCGAACAGTTTTTGATTTTATAAAATCGGTTCGGTAGTTTGAGGTTAAATGTGGGCGAAAAGTTTAACACTTTTTTCAAATCACAAAGAAACGGCTCGGCAGATCGTCTCACAAAACTGACAAACGATAGTTTTCATTGAGATACATCAAACGGCTTTTAAATTTCTGAAATCGGTTCAGGCGTTTTTGAGAAAACGTCGATCAAATGTCTAATTTTGACAAATGCCAAAAAAACGAATTCAAT